CCTCCTCCTCCTCCTCCTCCTCCTCCTCCTCCTCCTCCTCCTCCTCTTCCTCCTCCTCTTCCTTTCTTGGTTACTAGGGAGCCATGCTGGGTGCTCACCGTGGGTGCTGAGTTGCTCCAGATGAGAGTTTTCATCTTGGCGAAGCAACGGGTCTTCTTGGAGAGGTAGACAGCGTCCTCCATGAAGATGACCACGGACGCCAGGGTCAGGAGGGTCACCATGCCGGTGATGGCCAGGTCCACAAATCCCTGCTCTGCAACCACCAACACGTTGAATGTTTAGCGGTGAAAATGCGGCCCTCCCTCCACAGGGAGCCCAACAGCCCTGCCCTGCCTTTGCCCTTGGTAGCTTCATTGGAGAATCTGATTTATGACCCACCCGGGGAAGAAACAGGGATGCAGGTGACTGTCAATGATGGATGCCAGAGTTGGCTTCGTGAATGCCGGCATGTTGCTCCGAATAAATCTTTTGGATTCTTTTGAAGCTTGGCTCGAATCTCCTGTTTTAATTAGGGCTATTGTTGTCTGTGATGACCCCAAGGGGCGTGGCACAAAGGCAACACAGCCAAATAAGCAAGAAGAGTCTCTTTAATATCTCCAACTTTGCCCCCAATGTCCAAGTTACCTTTGGCTGGAGATACAGATACAGATACAGCCTTGGGCTGCAGAAAATTCAGTCCAAAACAAGGTACACACAAACTGTAACTTCAAATCCAAACAAACCAAACTGTAGTCATTAACTGGACAGGGCAGGAGAAGCAATTGCAGACTGGAAAGGCCAGCAAAACACACACACAGTTGGGAAGACACCAGGAACCCAGATAAGCCTCGACCATAAAAGATAATTCACGATTTGCTTCCAACCGTTTGCTGTGCGCAGCTTCCCTTTTTAAACATTGTGTTCCCAGGTGCGGCTAATGAAGGGAATCAGGGCCCTTTCCTCCCCTGTAAGCCAGCAACTCACATTGCTCCCTTCTCCGTTCCTCCCTGCGTGCCCTAGGATGAAGAGGGGGTGGGCCTGGGTCTTCCTCTGAACTCCCTCTCCCTTGTTCTACCTCACCCCTGCTCTGCCCAGCAGGACTTTGCCCTTCCCCAGTTTCCTCCACAGCCAACGGAGCCACATTCCCCCTCCCTGTCAGCTGCTCGGCCTCCCCCTCTGAATCAGATTCTGACAGGGGCATGACTCTGACACTAATCAGACTGAACAAGATATAGGTAGTCCTTGGCTTACAACGGTTCGTTTAATGACCGTTCAAAGTAACAGCGCTGCAAATATTGACTTGAGACCGGTTTCCACCCTTATGACTGTTGCAGCGGCCCCACGATCCAAATTCAGGCTGTGAGCGACTTGGAGTCAACCGCCAGGAGATTTTGACAACGTGACCACGGGGAGGTTTGCCACTGTCGTAAGTGTGAAACGCAGTCGTACATCACATTTTTCAGGACAGGCGATCCTCGGCTTGCAACCATCCCTTTAGGGATGGTTCGAAGTTATGACGACACTGAAAAAAGGGGCTGAGGATCGTTTTTCAAACTTATGACCATTTTCAGACTCCCCATGGTCACATCATCAAAATTGGCCACTGACTCCTATTTGGGGTCATGTTTTGATCCCCCTTTGCGACCTTCGGACAAGCAATCATCCAATTCACTTAACGACAGGGGTGGCTCACTTAACGTCCGCAGGGATTCCCTTAACACCAAGAAAGGTTGTAAAAAAGGAGGCTTTAAGACATGTCTCACTGATCAGCGGGAGTTTGGGGCTCCATTGGGCTTCGCGCGTCAAAGACCGCCTCTAGCGTGGCAACGCCAAACAGTCACTAAATGAAGCGGTGGTAAGTGGAGGATGAGCTATGCCTCCGCCTTGGTTGCGTCTTGCACACTTACGTCGCAGCAGCTGCAGCGCAGAAGGCGGGTGCGAGAAGCACGCCACGGGGACGCTGAAGTTGTCGATCAGCAGGTGGATCAAATCCAGGGATAAACTGCCCAAAAGAATGAAAAACAAGATCAGAGTTCAGGTGAAACGTACAAGCTTCCTTCATTCTCTCTGGGGTTTGCTCGTCCTGTCCAGAACTCCCCCCACCTCCCAAAAATATGGACTGTTTCTTTGGTTCGCGAACTTAGAATTATCTTTAACCATCAGATAATGGTTATCCACCCAAGTATTTGTTTGTGGGTTATTTTAAGGCAAGCAACTCCTTGTGAATTGACCTCTTTTCTGAATTCACACATTGCAAAGACTCTGTTGTGGTTAGCCGGCAGCAGGCGCGGACGGCTGAGGAGAGCGAGGACTCAGGTGAGGGGCCAGAACCATCGGGGAGTGGACTGTTGCCTTCAGAGATTGTGGGGGCTGGCAGCAGCGAGGAGGAGGTTCCCGAGGAGCCTGTGCTAAGTGCATATTCTATTCTATTCATATTCTATTCTATTCTATTCATATTCTATTCTATTCTATTCTATTCTATTCTATTCTATTCTATTCTATTCTATTCT